GAAGGTAGTTCAATGTCTAAAATGAAAAACAAAAAAAATTATAAACAATAAATTTGAAGTAAAAACATACATACTTTTTTAGGGTTGTATATGAACTTGGCATAAAGAATACACCTCAGTTCTGTTTGTCTGTTTATCTTTGAGTTTGTATTTGTTAAAATTTCAAAATTGTACATGTGTTTGTTGCCCAAAGTTTTGTTTGAGTTCTTTCCCTTTAATTGAATGAACTTGTTTAAAAACATTAAACTAACATATTCATGAACACATAACCAAATATGATTTGCAACACAATTTTTTCATGAATAATAAACAAACAAATCTAAATAAATTTAAGCAAACAAGCAAATAAAAATGTTTATTATTTTTGGATACAAAATAAAAATATAGCATAAATACTAATAATTATACTATACATAGATAAAATAAAACACAAATAATAAAATATTATTTGCACTATAATTGAACAATAGGAAAGTTTCAAACGACTTCGTAAACAATCTTTACACAATTCATAAACGAACTTGTTCATTAATATAAATGCAATGAATACACTTCATTAGAATTTATTTCATTTATCAGATGTGCCTAAAATTCTTGTAGATGATCATTTATATTCAGCAAATGCGTTGCTCATTTACAGAGCTAGGCTTCTTAAACAAAGAAACAAAAGATATATGCAGACTTTACTAAAGAAAATATAATATAAAGCTAATCAGATTTAAATATTTAATAAAGCGTTTCCGATATAATTTACTATCCAAGAAGTTCATTAGTTAAATTTTTTTCCCTCCTCAATTGTTTTCTATTTATCGAACATGTTTCCTTCTAAATCTTTCTGATTAATGCACTTTTCCAGAACCTTACCATCCATCTATAGCCCAGAATTATACAGTAATTTTATAACTCAGAGAGTTCTGCAACCAAGAAGAGTGAGAATAGAAAAGGATTAAACATGTGTTAACTCCTTTAATTTTCAGAAAGGACATTCATTCCCTGAACATTTCCCGTTCAGAGCACAAAATAGCTTGATGACCATCATCCAAAGAAACTTGAATGTAGCATAAGATTTTCAAAATCATGTCAGTAATGTGGAAAAGGTACTCATTGAAACATCCCTTCGGATCTGAACTTCCGAGCCGAGTACCCTGTAATACATTTCAATCAATCATACAAAGATAAAACAAAAGCTGGAAAAGGGTTAGGTAAACATGGACAATTAGATTCTTTCAGTAATGGAAAAGTAGAGAATCCTGTAAAGCTATGTTTTAACGAAACAACAATTATTGCAGAAACAGATTGAAGCATCCACTTTGTAGGTTAAGACATGTTATCACTAATTATCATTATCAGACATTCAATAAAGCAACATCATACCAACCATTAGTGATTATCCACTTAAATCTTACTGGGGTCTGCTTTTTGCATTAAAAAAGAACACATTGGTGACAAAAATGTCATGTCTAAGGTGGGAACCACTCTAAGGAAAATCATTCCACAATTATGGTCAGAGGTAGATAAACTCATCAACCAAGAACCCCTAACAATAACACCATGTATTAGGTAGAAGGGAAAGAAGGTGCAAAGAAAAATTACTCTTTCCATCCTTTCCTTTCTGGAAGATAAAAATAGTGTATATGTAACTTTCACTCCCCATTTTTTACCATTCTCTCCATTATCCTTCCTGTATGTTACCAGGTGATGCATGGAATATAAATCAAATAGGAATCAATACCTGTCCACCAGACAGGAGCAAAACAGCCAATTTGCCTTCCGAGATAGCCTTCAATCCCATCTTTCCCGCCCCTCCATCGTTCTCTCCTCCACCGATGACACGCAGCTCTCCGGAACCGACTCTATTGCTACCACCGGCAGTCCTAAAAGCCATAAAAAAGACAATCATATTGAAGAATAAACCAAAATAGAGAGGAAGTAAAGATTTCTATACATGTATGTACGTACCATGGGATCGCAGCGAGCAGCGAATGATCGATCTATTCTGGAAAGATCCAAACTCTGAAGAATGGAAGCAAAATCGAATTACTCCTTAAGTAAGAACAAAGTTAAGCTGCATGCTTTTAAGTGGAACTTGTTTGGAATTGAAATTTTTCAATCAAGCTTTAGAATCGAAATTGAATAATTGGATTGTGACCTGGATATCGTTGAGAAGGAGGTGTCGTTCTTGAGGGGAGAGCTCGTCGCAGAGGGAAAAAACGTGTTCCTGGCCGTAATCTTTGAGCCTCTCCATCAATTGCTGAGGAGGTGCGGTAGGTGCAGCACCGGTGTCGTTGTCTATTCCCATCGCCACCGTCGGCTCCCTCATTTTTGTTGTTACCAAACAAAACAAATTGTTTAGGTTTTCCTTCACTTCGCAGGGTGAGATCCCTGTGTTGATTTTATTTAGCCTGCGAATGTAATAGAGGAGACGGGTGAGGCAAAGACAAATGACAGAGTAACGGACAGAAGCACTGTGGCATCCAAATAGATGAAATCCCCGTTATGCCCTCTCTCCATTGCAAATTACTTGCATTTTCCTTTTCAAACAAACAAGGCAGTAATGAATCAATCAGGTGTTCTGTCTTGATTTGATTCGGATGTCAACTTTAGGGTTGTTAACTCTCCGGCTCTATTTTGAAAATCGGACTTGGTCGGTTGGTTCAACCTGTTTAACCGGAAATCGTTGCTTAGTCTGGTTCAATCTAAATCGGTTGAATCGTTATTAGTGAACCGGTCAGAACTGCTGAACTGTTCGAATCGGATCGGCTGAAATCAGGAAAAAACCGAGAAAAATCGGGATTTTTTTTTTAAATTAAGCCAAACAATGTCATTTGTTAAACGAGCCAAGTCGAACTTGAGTATTGCTGAGCTCGACTCGAACTTGAAAACTTTAAAAGTAAGCTCAACTCAACTCAAACTCACAAGCTAAAAATTATCAAGTTCAACTCAAACTCGAAATATAATATTAAAACTTGAACTCAAAAAAAAATAGAAGCTCGATTGAAGCCTAAAATTCGAGCTTGATTGAAGTGAAAGAATAGTTCACTCAATGCTCACCAAAAGGCTCCATGATTTTGAATGTCAAATTACCTCTATTATTTATAGAAGTTAGTTGTGATGCGCTTCTATGTTTCTTAGCAATGTGAGATTGTTTTGTTCTCATATTTTTACTCTTTAGACTTTTGGGATGTTCTTCTATGTTTCTTAGCATTGTGGGATTGTTTTTAAAAAAAATTAAATCAAACAATATCATTTTGTTATGATTTTTTTAACCCCAAATTTATTTTTAATTATAGTTATATAATTATATTTATTATTTAATATGTTTTACCTTAAATATTATGTTGTAGTTAATTTGAATATTTTATTTCACTTGTTTTTATGGTTTTTAACTTATATATGTTATGACTTGTTTTGAATATTAGTTGTGATATAAAAAATTATTTTTTATTAAATATTTTTGGTATTTTTATTTAATTTTTTAAATAATTATAACGTCGTCCGGTTCTTCTGACCGGTCGGACCGATTCGACCGGTTGAATCAATAAACCGATAGCATGACCGGTTCACTAACCAATCTGCTAACCGATCCGATTCTGAAAACCATGCTCTCTGGGGCCGTAATAAATCTATGCTCATCCTCCAACTCCAAATTCTTTCTTTTAAATGTAAATTCTCTAAATTATTAAGCATGATATTAAAATTCAAGTTTGATAATTTTCTATTTTTTAAATACTTTAATATTTAATATTTTATTTTAAAATAAAATAATTCTAATTAATAATCATTGATGTGACAATCATTTGTGTCTAAAATATTAATTTGAGATCGTTATGTATACATAAATGATGATACACTAATATTATGTTATAACTTTAAAGGTATGTTATACATCACATCATCGCTTATGCATATATAATAATGTTTTTTTATTCCTTATAATCATATAATAGGGTTATATTATTACTTTAGATGCTTAAAACATATCATGTTACCCGTTAATATGCATATCACTTTGAATATATTAAACTTATCACATCATTATTTATGTATATGCGACAGTATCATATCATGAATTTAGACATGACATATGTATTTTGTCATTATTTTAGGCCTACATAATTTATCGCATCATTAATTTAGATATGTGGTATGTGTCACATCATCGTTTAAATACATAATGGTGTGACATGATCATTTTAGATATGCAATATATATCACATTATCGTTTTTGATACGTGGTTTGCATCAAATCATCATTCTGAACATGTGATATATGTCAAATAATTACTTATGTACATGTGACATATACAATTTTATAATTTTGAACATATATAACCGATCATATCAACAACAAACGCTACCATTAGTGAATTAATCATTTTTATTTAATCACTCTCGAAATAAAAAATATTGAGTATCAAATGAATAATAAAAAGAGGACAAAGATGTTAGGTTGATTTTTTATTTTTTTTTTGCATTATGCCAAATTAATAAATCCACCGGTCGTAATTACTATTTATTATATCATCGTGGCAATAAAGCAGAATGGATTGTGGGGATAGCCGACAAACGTGTTCAAAGAAAGGAATTGAATCTTCGACTATATATTCGTAGGCATGGATATTGGGCAAGTGAAGTGGCCCATAATTGAAGAACGTAGGACCACATTAACAATAGGCTTCGAGTTGTTAGTTAAGAGCCCAAGACATAAAACATATATAAATATAAGCTTCAACCTGTGTGTAAATTTGCTGATCAAACGGTCTGTGGCAAGAGACGCAGTGTCTTTATGCAAACAATGCTTTTGCTTTAACTTTTGCTTTGCTTTTCTTTTCTTTTGATAAAGCAAAATGCCACACTGGCCTAAAGAGAAAGAGGGCCTTGGATGCTGTTAACGCGCAACTTTGCCTTTAGATTAGTTTCAAAGCTGCTCGCTTTCTCGCTCGCGACCATCCGTCTATTATTATTATAAATTGTGACTGAAACTAAGCCCCCATTGAACCACCTGGTCCACCCAGTATGCTCATCTGAACTAACACTCATGGTTTCAGATATGAAGTTTCTCTTCCTCTTTTCTCTCATCTTCTTCTTCTTCCTCTCTTCTTCTAATGGAGTTTCTGCACGTAATTCGTATGTCAAGAAGCAAGCATCGATCCTGGTTTCTGTAAAGCAACAGCTTGAATCCTCCAGTTCTACTGCTCTAGCTGATTGGAATGTCTCCAACTACTTGTCTCTTTGCTCTTGGACCGGCATCCAATGTGATGGGTTGAATACGTCGGTCGTTTCTCTTGATATAGCGAATTTTAACATCTCTGGTTCTCTCTCTCCGGTCATCGTCCAACTTCAAGGCCTTGTTAATCTCTCGGTGTCTGGTAACAGCTTCTCCGGTGAGTTTCCGCAAGATATACACAAGCTAAAGAGGCTCAAGTTTCTGAATATATCGAGAAATATGTTCACCGGAGAGCTGAACTGGGATTTCTCTCAGATGAAAGAGCTGGTGTCGCTAGATGTTTACGATAATAATTTCAATGGCTCACTCCCAGTAGGCGTCACTGAGCTTCCTAATCTCACGCACTTGAACTTTGGGGGCAATTACTTTAGCGGAGAAATTCCCGCAGTCTACGGTGGTTTGGAGGGGCTGGAATATCTTTCTCTTGCCGGAAATGATTTAAGCGGTCGTATTCCGGCTGAGCTGGGAAATCTAACGAATCTCAAGCAGCTTTTCCTGGGTTACTACAATGTGTTCGACGGCGGAATTCCAGCAGCGTTTGGGAAATTGGTCAATCTTGTACGATTGGACCTAGCAAACTGTAGCCTGGACGGTCCGATTCCTTCCCAAGTCGGACACTTGAGGCAACTGGATACTCTCTTCTTGCAAACGAATGAGATCAGCGGTGAAATTCCTCCTCAACTAGGCAATCTGAGTAACTTGAAATCTCTTGACCTTTCGAACAATATGCTAACAGGGGAGATTCCACTCGAGTTATCTACTCTTCGTCGACTCATCCTCCTCAACTTATTTGTCAACAGGTTCCATGGCGAGATCCCTGATTTCATTGCCGAGTTACCCGAGTTGGAAGTCCTGAAGCTGTGGCACAATAATTTGACAGGTTCAATTCCTTCAAAGCTGGGAGAGAATGGTAGATTGGTGGAGCTTGATTTGTCAACTAATAAGCTCACTGGTTTAATCCCAAAATCTCTTTGCTTGGGAAGGAAGCTGCAGATCTTGATTCTGTTCGACAATTTCTTGTTCGGCACTCTACCGGAGGATCTTAGTGAATGTGATACATTATCAAGAGTTCGGATGGGACACAATTATCTTACAGGATCGATACCGAACGGATTGCTTTTCTTACCGGAGCTATCGCTTCTGGAGTTGCACGACAATGACCTAACCGGAAGAATCCCACAGGATACAGGGAGGATACCGACGAAACTAGGCCAGCTGAATCTTTCAAACAACAAGTTATCAGGTTCACTTCCGACTTCGATCGGAAATTTCTCTGGCTTGCAGCTTCTGCTACTTGGTTCCAACAGATTCACTGGACAAATTCCATCCGAAATTGGCCGACTGAAAGCTGTGCTGAAGTTGGATATGAGTAGAAATAACTTGTCAGGTACAATACCATCCGAGTTAGGCGATTGTCCCCTACTAACATACATTGATTTGAGCCAGAACCAACTAACTGGTCCAATCCCTGTTCAAATCGCTCAAATTCACATACTCAATTACCTCAATGTGTCTTGGAACAACTTAAACGAAAGCCTTCCAAAGGAAATTGGTTCCATAAAAAGCCTAACGAGTGCAGATTTTTCTCACAACAACTTGTCCGGATCAATACCGCAGTTCGGACAGTACTCATTTTTCAACTTGACATCCTTCGTAGGAAACCCTCAGCTTTGTGGATCATACTCGAACACTTGTGAGTATTCTTCGTTGGACCATCACCAGGGTGGCACCAAGTCTCAAGTGCCTGCAAAATACAAGTTCCTTTTCGCATTGGGACTCCTGGCTTGTTCATTGATATTTGCAGCTTTTACAATCATCAAAACCCGAAAAGGTCGAAGAAGTTCACATCAATGGAAGCTGACGGCTTTCCAGAAGCTCGAATTCAGAAGCCAAGACATACTGGAATGCATAAAAGAGAACAATGTGATAGGGAGAGGTGGAGCAGGCATTGTGTACAGAGGAATCATGCCAAACGGAGAACAAGTAGCAGTGAAGAAGCTATTAACCATAAGCAAAGGTTGTTCCCATGATAATGGCCTCTCAGCAGAAATACAGACTTTGGGTAAGATTCGACACAGGAACATCGTGCGCCTGCTGGGATTCTGTTCCAATAAAGACACCAATCTTCTAGTCTACGAATACATGCCAAATGGAAGCTTGGGCGAGGTCCTTCACGGAAAGGACGGTGGCTATCTCAGGTTAACGGTCGCCCTGAAAATTTTAATTTCACATATAATTTAACATAAATTCATGCTTTCATCTCTGACTCAGGTGGGATACGAGGCTGAAAATAGCCATGGAGGCTGCAAAAGGCCTGTGTTACCTGCATCATGATTGTTCACCACTCATACTCCATAGGGATGTCAAGTCCAACAACATTTTACTAAACTCGGATTTCGAGGCTCATGTTGCAGATTTCGGGCTTGCTAAGTTCTTGCAAGGCACTGAAACTTCGGAGTGCATGTCAGCCATTGCTGGTTCATACGGTTATATTGCTCCAGGTACATCCACTTGATTCTACATCTGTTTTGATCCTGTTTAGTATGTAAACCGTTGCACCGTTTGATTGAGAACCATATTGACCCCATCTTTACAGCAAATAGATTTGATAATCATCTGTCTAACACAGATGAGTTGGGTGTTGCATGTCCTGCAAATTATAAATGTTTGCACCAATCACTCGCAAACTTTTTTTTGACTGAAAACCTAGCAAGATTGCTTAGTAGAATAACACATTAATGCATTGGAATCCAAAGCCTACCCTCCGGCCCCTCTCCTTAAGATCTTGATTGGGATTAGGAATTGGCATTTGACTAAATATGAACGGATCAAGGTTTTTTTTTAAAAGATGTGATCAGTTGGGTCGGATTCAGTTTAGAGTGAAAAAATAAAGATCCGAGATAATATTATAAAATATATATATATTTAGAGATAATTATAATAATATATATTTATATTATTTTTTCAATTGTCTTTGTTCTATCTAATAAAAATAAAGGTAAATTATACCGTTCCTCATTGAACTATACTCTCTCTCCTATTTTTTTCACCCAACTTTCAATTTGGTCAATTTGCTCACTGAACTTTATCATTTTGCTCACTCGACCATTTTCTCTATATAGGCTGATGATGTGACATTTTTATTATTATTTTAATTTTAAAAATAAAATAAAAATAGAAGGTGGTCAGATTCCACTACCGACCACCGTCAACCGCTATAGATAGTGGTCGTTCGATCCTAAAATGGAATGGGTCTCTTCACCTCGACAACTTGAGTCCAAATTCGACCTCTATTTTGTAAGATTTTACTCCGAAATCCACGAATTTGAGATTGAAAGTGAGGAAACCGAAACATTTCAGTCCAAATTCACGGATCTTATGACATTTTTCGGTGAAACAACCGCCAGATTCGAACTCAGGGTGTCGAAACAAACATACCCATGAAATTTGGGACTGAACAAACACCATCTACGGCGGTCGACGGTGGCCTGAATGAAAATAACATGGTGGCTGGAGAAAAAATGAAGAAGAGAAGGAAAAAGGATAAATTACACCATGAGTTATTGAACTTTACTCTGTCTTCTATTTTACTCACTAAAACGTCGTTTTGGAGTATATTTGAGTTTTTTAAAATGACGCCGTTTTGATGTCTGTGACACGTCATAATGTTGTTAAATAGTTAACAGTAGAGTGAGCAAAATGATTTAATTTGTAAAATTCAGTGAGTAAATTGATCAAATTGAAAGTTGGGTGAAAAAGTTAGGAGAGAGAGTAAAGTTCAGTGAGGAACGATGTAATTTACCCTAAAAATAAATGATATATATATGAGCACAAATTTTAACCTAAAAATGGATTTTTAATTCAGGTAAAACATTCTAAATTCGGATTAGATGAAATACAAGAGGAGAAATCTAATTTTTAAATTAGATTCGAATTAATTAAAAGCCCGACTTGAGCAACCCTAATTGGGATCTATCTCTAAGCCTCCCCTAAGTCCTAAAAAGAGAAAGACGTGTAATGTATGCAGAAAGAATAGACAAATAAATGAAAGAAGAACTCCACCCACTTTTTCTTTTACCTCTCCGGTAGACTCTGCTTGGGGAAGAGAGCTAAGCTTTATTTCTTTTTGTGTATCTACGTCAATGTATGCAGAAATAATAGATAAATAAATGAAAGAAAGAAGCAAGGTAAGATCATGTTGTGTTAACTTTGATTATGACAGAGTATGCATACACTCTAAAAGTGGACGAGAAGAGCGACGTGTACAGCTTCGGAGTGGTGCTTTTGGAGCTGATAACGGGGCGGAGGCCGGTGGGTGAGTTCGGAGAAGAGGGGCTGGACATCGTGCAGTGGAGCAAGAGGGAGACTAAGATGAGAAAGGAAGGGGTGTTGAAGATATTGGACCAGAGAGTTTGGGATACGGTGCCGGAGGAGGAAGCCATGCAGGTTTTCTTTGTGGCCGTGTTGTGCGTGGAGGAGCACAGCGTGGAGCGACCCACCATGAGAGAAGTTGTTCAAATGCTTGCTCAGGCCAAGCACCCTAACACTTTTCACATGCAATGACTCTTTGTCTCTATTTATGTAATACACACCTTGTTTTTGGTTGATACCTTAATGGACATGTTAGTTTGTACTCGGAAACGCGTGCCAATTGAGATTTTTAAATATATGATATATTGTTACGTATCCATTTTACTAAAATTTAACTCAGAGTTAAAAAAAAAAATTCAGAGTCAAATGTCTGTTGTTATCTCTAAATATACAGATTAACGAATGGAACATATAAACCCTGCGGAGACTTTTTTTTTTACCGAGTGTTACTAATAAACAATGAATCAAATAACCAAATTTCACCACATTGTTTTCTCTATATGCATCTGGCAACGCACCACATTTCCTAAATCTCAGTTTAAAATCAAAATGCAAGACACATGCCGAGGATTAACAAGAAAAGAAAGTCTTCGATAATTTAATGTAAAATATTTTCAAATCAAGCCAGAAAGAAACCTATTTAAACACCAATACAATACATAATTAAATGTAAAATACTGCAACCACCAGACACTGGGTGAAACAAAGAAAGGCCTACATTACATTCACATTTTTTAGGCCATACCAATCTTTCCAAACATGCAAGCACAGCCCATAATTCATTCTTGTGAAGAGATTCCAGTCAACATTAATCCATGGCATAATTGGGAGCTACAGCTAAAATCCTGCTATCTCTAGCTGATCGTGCTGCTGCACCTTCACCCTCTTCTTGCCTGCCATCATCTATCACAATCAAGTGCCCTTCCCTCTTAATCAATCTCTGCATTACCCCAAGATATATTATCTCTTACATAAAACTAATCACCACCCTTGGTGGAAATACAAATATAGTCTAGTTGCTTTACCTCAATAAGTGATCTAATTCGTTTAATTTCTGTTTCTACTTCTGCAGTTGAGCTGTAATTGTTTTTTTCATTCTGCTGATTCACATACCACTGGATTAAATCTCCTTGACTCATTCCAGCCAAGCCACTCTCTGCACAACATAAAATTGCCTCATTTTAGGTTAAGTTGAATAAGAACACTTGAACACAAATATTCATTCAATGTTCCAGCAAGAAATCTATGCCGCTGATCATGAAGACATGTAAGGTTTACCTTGTTGCCTTACAGCTTCTTCATGCTGCCTAAGGCGCATGACAAGGGCCTGAGTAACCCTCTGAAAATAGTCCTCCTTTACCATGAATTCCTCCTTTTGTTGATTGGTAGTACCTACTTTTTCAGAAAGATAATAGTTCATTATAAAACCTCAAACCAGTATATGACGGAAGAAAAGATACAAATACACAGCTTGCATAGTCCTACCAGTACTTTCAGAAGCTTGTTGAGCATCACCTTCGCCAGAATTATTGGTTCTATCATCAGAACCATCAGTATTTACTTCTTGAAATTCTGACAAATCAATCTCGGTGGACTCCACACTGCATGATTAAGAAGAAATTATAAAAAAAAAACTTAAAAAGGAGAAGGGAAGGATGGAAGGGGGATTCATGGTTCTACAATGGTCATGTTATTAGACTTGCCTAATTATAGATGTTTTCAGTAATCTCACTGCTACACGAACATGCCTAGGGTGCACCTGCAAAAGAACAGTTTTCTAACTCCAGGGTGCAAGATAATGAAAGAATATGTTCTGTGGTAGATAAAGAACCTGAGTTTCCAAATAACTCCGAGCAATGGCCTCAGACAACCTGACTAAGGCCTCCAACTGCCTAACTGTCATCCGGTATGCAACTCTGCTTCCAGGAGTTGTATCACCTCGTCTGAGAGCAACATAAGACTCAACCAAGAGTTTTCTTGCTTCAGAGGTTAGCTGCATTACACTAACACCATTTAGCTATGCCAATGCAATGGAAAGTAATCATATCCTAAGCAGTGAAGGGTTATGGCAGAAACCTTTGGTTTTGAAGTTTTTGCATATGTAATGTATCGTTTCAGTTGTGCAGTGGTGAAAGCAGGATGAAGTGCTTCTTCACGCTTCTGGTGAACTCTCACAATATGATGAGCAATATGGTAATCAGTTTGATCATCCGGATCATCAATCATGACATATACCAGATCAAACCTAGAAAGGATAGCTGGAGGGAGAGCAACATTATACTGAAGAGGAAGAACCATAACCAAGCCATCAGTTTACAGGCGATTATACCAAAACTTAATCAGCATCAAATACTAAAAATTGGGGCCAATTCGAATCAGCCTTAATACCTTGAGGGTTTAGACTTATCATAGCGCCCTCCAGTAGGATTAGCTGCAGCTAGAATTGATGTACGGGCATTTAGTGTTGCCTGTATTCCGGCTTTAGTAATGCTTATGGTCTGTTGCTCCATGGCTTCATGAATCGCAACCTTAATACAAAATTGCTTATCAGACACCAAATGATTCTGAATGTACAAAACTGTTCTCTGGTAAGACAATATGAACCTTACCTGATCCCTGACATCCATCTTGTCAAATTCATCAATGCAACATATGCCATTGTCTGCCAGCATCAGAGCACCTGCCTGGAAATAGAGCAGATGTAATTTTTCAGACTTAAAAGCAGGGGTTTGATTAATCTGTTTTCTTTTTGGCAAGATTGATTAATTGAAAAATGGGTTAACAGTAGAGAATAAACGTAGTTTCTACAAATTTACAATTTGCAAGTCAGATCTCTAATTTAATAATCATATTCGTTGGATTAGGCTGCACCATAATGAAAAAAAGTGAGGAAGGACACAAAAACCAGGAACTCTTAATTTGCTGTGTTTAGGAACATGTAATCAGGAGAGTGAATTTGGAAATTTGTTCTCATATAAAATGTGAACAGGGGAAGCAAACATGATGAAAAATTGAAAATGATTCAGCATACTCATGTTTGACAAAATATTTAAATACATTATGTTACATAGGTATTCCAAATTTACAAGGTGAAGATCCAATAAAAACCATAAAACCTGATTGTCATCAAAGAAACTGTACTTTTATGGGTTCTACTGTACAATTTATGTTATATTTCCATATTGATCATTGTCAATAATTTAATAATGATTGCTTCTACTTATATTCAAGCATCATATCAAAGGCATTCCATTTAGCTTAGCTGTCAGTGTTAATTGAGCACAAATAGCTACTTTTCATGGTAAACAAAGCCAAATACAAGGCCTGACATTAAGAAGATAAACAAAATATGAATACTACCTCAATACAAAATTCACCAGTTTCTGGTTCTTTGGCCACAGTCGCTGTCAATCCAGCAGCAGAAGAGGACTTGCCAGATGTATAGACCGATCTGGGAACAATACCTGATGTGTATCTGCAACAATAAAGACCTCCGTATTTTTAAGTTCTACAAGTGTGTAGCCACAATGTCTGCATGGTAAAATACTTACTTGAGAAACTGGGACTTTGCACAGCTGGGATCCCCAACTATACAAACATTTATATCTCCTCTGAGATTGATGCCTTCATGAGTAAGCTTGTGGACGCCACCCAAAAGCATGAGCAAGATTGCTCGCTTGATATCTTGGTGACCAAAACTGTTGGTGCAATGCTATCAACAAGCTTATTGAAGAATCAGGAGTATCTCTCATTCGTTGAATCTCTGTAAGCTCCTCCGACTACAAGTTGGATAAAGAAATGGAATAAAAAGCTATCAGATACTTTAGTTCTTTTATGGCATAAAGCCTAGTATTAGAACTAAACTAAAATCTAGATCAATTGGGGAGTCATGCAAACATGCAAATCACAAGAGATAGTCATGAAAATAAGATCATCAATTTAAATATGCAAGTCAACAGTGCCTTTCAGTAGATCAATTACTTGCATATTTAAATATGAACAATTTAGATGTAGAAAGATTTTGCAAAATCTTCAAAGATAAGATGTAGAAACGGCATAACATGAACAATTTAGACTAGAAAAATTGGTTAACGGAGCATGAAAGCAATGTAGAGAATATAAGAAATGCAAGGTGCAGCAAGAACTAACTGTGAACTGTTGGTCATCTTCATCACCGGCTTTTTTCCTATTTCTGATGTCAACATCCTTTCTGCCGTCAGAACCTAAGAAGAATCTTTGTCAGTAATCTGTGTAGGATGCTGCAATAAGCCATTAAAGCAAATAGTCACAATAAGCCAATTAATGACAGACCTGAACTGAATTAGCAATGAAGGCTAAACGATAAGATAAGTCTCTGACTCCCAATGCACGAAGACCTCTCACACCTTCTTGTCCAGCAGTTGAACCCTTGCGCTGAGAAGCTTCTCGGCGGCATTCTGCTCTTTCACCGGGGGAAGCCAGTGCCAATATGTCCGGTATCACAACCACCGTACCAGTGAACAAGACACTATCACCATATATAAATGCAAATTAAAGAAAATAGGGGAAACAAAGAGAAAGAGGAACAAAAAAGCAAAACAAGGAACAAGATTAGCGTTGGATGTAATCTTACGCATCGCCTGCTCTAGCCAATTCCACAATCTCATGGCGAAGAATAACATCCAATGATCTAGGTAAGGAGCCAGCAGGAATCTCCTTAGAAGTCTCCTGCATTCTTACCCTCTGCCAATCTGCAAACTTGCTGTCTTGTCGAAGCAATGCCCATCTTGTTCTATTTAGACATGTTGCACTCACGCATGTTGTTGGCTGTTCGACAATAAGAATTGTAGGAAAACAATGAAAAACACAACAATTAAGAGAATAAAAAGAAGGTAGATGAGAAAGATGGCAGACCTCAGTGTACTTGAATTGCTGTTCGATATTCTTGACAACGCTTCCGCAGTCCAAGCATTTGAATGTTCCTTGGAGAAGCTCGGGTCTGACTTCGCTTGTTCGTGTGACTACTCCCGTGACTGATACTAGCTTCCCAATTTCGGCAGTGGTTAATTCTCTCAAGCTGAAGAGATGCAACAACAAAACATATATATTCTGTCGTATTACTTGATCTGGAACAATAAATCTAGATTGATGCTATACTATGAGTAGATGAGATGAAAAGGAGTACCGCTTGGTGAAGGGAATGTTAAAGAAGGCGACATTAATGTCCTTGTTTGGGTTATCATCTGCCTCAGCAATAAG